GCAGACTTGTTCACCGGCTGCTTGACGTGTCCGATTGACATTTCCATCAAGTGGTTCATCATGCAGCTGCCGCTCAAGGACTCGTACTACCTGATGCTCCCACGCAACAGCAACGGCAACGTGATTATTCCAGGCAAGCTCACAGACAGAAGAACCCCATTGGGTGAGCTCAACTGGATCTTCACCGCCATCACAGACACAATTGCATGGACCTCGCTCTCGAGGCCGATTTTCAAGAAACTCTTCCGTCAGGACCTCATGGTGGCTGCGCTCTTCAGAAACTTCCTTTTGGCCAAGAGAGTCATGCCGCATTTCAACTGTAATCCCATCAGTGACCCGCCTTTACCCGAGTCGGTCCGTTTCCACTCCATGTGGAACTCCTGGGACTTGGCCATCGACCAGGTTTTCGCTCAGTTGATCAAGAACAATAATCCCGATCCGTACTCATACACGGTCCCCACGCCGCCGCCACCTCCAGTTCCACAAAACAACGTCACACCACAGTCAACTCTAAACGGAAACTCAAACGGCAGCCGTGCCAGCATATCCTTGTCTCAACAGCAAAACCAACAACAGCCGCTTCCAAACCAGCGCCAGATGCTTTCAAACTACCAGCATTCCACCTTTTTCGAACAGCAGTTAACTGCATTTGACATCTGGTTGAAATACGAAGGCCCATCTACAAAGAACCCACCCGAACAGCTACCTATCGTGCTTCAAGTTTTGCTTTCCCAGGTGCACCGTTTGAGGGCGTTAATATTGCTTTCGAAGTTCCTCGATCTCGGGCCTTGGGCGGTTTACTTGTCTCTTTCCATTGGTATTTTCCCGTACGTGCTCAAATTGCTTCAGAGTCCAGCTCAGGAATTGAAGCCTGTTCTTATCTTTATCTGGACCAGAATCATGGCTATTGACTATAAGAACACCCAGCAAGAACTCTGCAAAGACAAAGGCTACAACTACTTTTACCTAATTCTCAACTCCAGTCCACTGAACTCCATTGGTGCCCCAGGTGCTCCTGGAGGTAATATGAATGGTGCAAACGGAGGCGCCACTTCAGTCATGGTCAATGACGACCACAAGGCCATGAGTGCGTTCATTTTGACCCTTTTCATCAAAGACTTCAGAAACGGCCAGCGTTTGTGCTTCTCCATTGAACTTGTCAGTAACTGTCTCAAGTTCTTGCAACTGAGTGAAAACCCATTACTCAGACAGTGGTGTTGCTTACTTCTTTCGCAGCTTTGGTACAAGTACAAGGACGGAAGATGGATAATCTATAAGGATGGCTATCTCGCAAAGTTCCTCACTTTGATCAATGATCCGATCCCTGAGGTGAGAACATCCATCATCATTGCACTTACCACGTTTTTGACAGACCCTAACGAACTGGCCAATGAGCTGCCCAAGAAGAATGGCAACCAGGGCAATGGCATGAACGCTGATTTGAGGCTGGACGAATTACGTCAGCAAGACCTCAAGTTGGCGAATGTCATTTTACGTCTCATGGGCGACGGATCGACCATTGTACGGAAAGAGATTGTCTTCTTCATCAACCGTTTCATCAAGGTCTATAATAAGTTTTTCATGGTTGTGGCTTTCAACCAACTCGAGGAGGAGATTGTTCTTATTGACAACCCAAATAATTTGCACGAATTCCGCAAAAAGTCTCCTGCTTATGGCTCCATCTTCAGTTCTATCTGGAAAGCACTTTTGATCTTGTCTGAAGATCCACATCTTGAAGTCAAGCAGCTTGCTGAAACTCTCATTGACTCAGTCATGGTCAATCTTGGAGAAAGTGAGCTCAGTGAACTTGTGAAGGAAATGCAAGATTACTTGTTGAGCAAGTCCACCATCAGCATCTCCGACAACTTGAAGCCTGTTCAACCTATTGTTAATCGTACACCCATGCTTTTGCATGGAAACGATGGTGTTCGCAGACAAGCTTCCAGCGGTTCAGTTCTCAATAGAAAGAACGCTTTGACCATTGATGGTTCATCGTTGAAGACAAGAGCCATTTCTCATGGAAACATGAACAGAAGTTCTGCTGCCGATGACGCACTGGATACGCTGTCCATTTCCTCCAAGCTCAAGAACTTGAGTATCTCCAAATTGTTCAGAAGCTTCCACATCAATGACGATACCGAGCTCAATAACTTCACAAGAATCTTGAAGCCTGGGCCAGCCATCAGTCAGTATGGCTCAAACTACAGACCGAAGACACCCAGATACGTTGCGAGAGACTTTGAAAAGGAACCTGAACTCCCTGACGAGTCTGGATTCTTTGACTACAGCTGTGAGTATTTCCAGGAGCCTCAGATGTCCAAGACAGAAATCGATGAGCCTGGTTCAAAGGAGTATATGAAGAGGCTTTGGAGAAGAAACAGAAACGAGAGCACCATTCAGGAAACCCAGCCTCAAAAGATGATGGCTATTCGTGGCGACTGGAACAGGGAGCTTACTGTTTTGAACAACAAATCACAGCCTAAGCTCATCAAGTTTATGCAATTTGAGAAACTTCTTGTTGCTTCGGACGAAAAGGATAACGTCTCCGTATGGAACTGGGAGAACAAGGAGATTGTGACCAAATTCTCCAACGGCAATCCCTTTGGCACAAAGATCACCGACATCAAGTTTATCAACGAGGATGACGAACCGTTGGTCATGACGGGTTCGTCCGATGGTGTAATCAAGATGTACAAGAACTTCCACCTCGATCAAGAAGCCAGAGATGTGGAGCTTGTGACAGCTTGGCGAGCATTGACAGATCTCCTTTTGACCTCCAAGAGTTCCGGTCTCATTAGTGACTGGCAGCAGTCCAGAGGCTCGCTTTTGGTCAGTGGAGATGTCAAGATCATCAGAGTATGGGACGCTCCAAGAGAACTCTGCACCATCGATATTCCCGCAAGATCATCATCGTCCATCACAACCCTTACCTCGGATCAAGTTGCAGGCAACATTTTCGTGGCAGGTTTCGATGATGGTAGTTTGAGGGTCTACGATAGAAGGCTTGATGCTAGAGAATCCATGGTTAAGGTCTGGCAGAATGGAAGAGGCGCCATCAAGGATATGGGCCGTGGGTCAGTCCGAAACGTTCACATGCAAAGAGGTGGTTTCCGTGAACTTGTCAGTGGATCTTCCGACGGATACGTGAATCTCTTTGATATTCGCTTATCTGAGCCAGTGCTCACATTCACCAGCGATGAACGCAATATCAGATGCATGGATGTCCACGAGCATGCTCCTATCATTACCACGGCTTCCAAGCTGGTGGACATTTGGACCACCAGTGGTGACATGATACACACGCTTAAGAACCCACATGACCACTACTTAGCCAACCGGACTCTGAACTACTTGTCAAATGTCGCTTTCCATCCCCACAGAATGATGATAGCCACCAATTACAACCAGGATGGCCATATTAATGTGTACCAGTGCAGCGACATTGTGGAGGAGTACTAGTGTGGTGATACCACCCAAACGCATCCATGGAAGATTAGTCCCGGCTAGATTTGCAACCATTAGTCCGATTCGCACAATGGCAAAATCGTGACAACGGCGGCGCGGGATTGCTACCGATTCTGGAAACAAAACCGAGAAGATCTCCCAGGCAACATAGGTTTTTGAAAACGATAACATCAACCTTTTTCCGCCACAAAGCTTGTTGTTTCCATTGCCCACCACTGGTTGCTTTGGGTGCTGTCAAGTTATCTGCAGTCCAAACCCAATCTCACGCTTGAAAAAGTAACCCTGCTTGCTTCTAACAGCAGCCTGTCTCGCCACTTCCTAGCTCATGTCGCTATCCCTGGAACTAGCGGCTGCCATCGAAGACGAAGACTTGCACCTCCGTTCGCCCGGAGCTCTCCCGAAAGCGCCCGGGCCTCCAACAAACGGCGACATCACCGCTGTGCAGCGAATGCTATCAGCATGTCTGGGGTCCTTCATCACGTCTCTAGTGGTGACGCCCTTTGACGTTGTTAGAATCAGAGTCCAGCAGCAGGAAGTCATGCAAGGTTTCCTGTGCTGCTCTCAATCCGCTCCCAAGGTGGCCATGAAGCCGCCACCATCAGCATCCAAAGCATCTTTTAGCTCCGCTGCATCTACGCTATCACGAACAGCAGCAGCACTACAACCTCCAGGCGTTTTCTGGGTCACGGGCCACTACTGTGAGGCGGCGGAGGTGTGTCCCAAGATCACCTCGACGTTTCAAGGCATGTCCGTGATTAGCCGAAATGAGGGCATCACCACTCTCTGGCGAGGACTCAGCTTGACGCTATTCATGGCCATTCCTTCTAATATCATATACTTCACAGGCTATGAGTACATCCGTGACCGACTGCCTTTCAAGGGAGAGATGTTGAATCCGCTACTCTGTGGCTCGTTTGCCAGAACCATGGCGGCAACGGTGGTGGCTCCAGTGGAGCTCCTCAAAACCAGACTCCAGTCCATTCCACACGAGGTGCGCAACGACCAGCCACGCTCCCAGATTTTGAAGAACTTGCTCAAAGACTTTAGCCTGTCGTTCAAGACCCGCGGCGTGGGCTCGATGTTCACTGGTTTGAAGATCACGCTCTGGAGAGACGTGCCCTTCTCGGGCATCTACTGGCTGTGCTACGAGCTCTTCAAGGACCGCATTGGTGGCGCTATGAAGGTGGATTTTGCCGCCTCCCACCAGGACGACTGGAAGGTGTTCACCACCAGTTTCTTGCTGGGCTCGATGGGTGGAATAGTCGCTGCAGCATTCACGAATCCGTTTGACGTGGGCAAGACTCGACTCCAAATTGCCACGGAGCAGAAGAAGCCGCTGACGAAACCACTGATGTTCCTGTTCCTCCAGCAGATCTACCGCAACGAAGGCTTGGGAGCGTTGTACAGCGGGTTCGGCCCTCGAGTGATGAAAATCGCCCCGCTGTGTGCCATCATGATCTCGTCGTACGAGATTGGCAAGAAGATCTTCAAGGATCTGATGTAGAAAAAATTAGCATGTATTATAGACGACCCGATTACCAGCCGTTCCACACGCGGTGGACGGTGCCGTTGGCGCCTGTGCCTCGGCCTTGTAGTTTTTCGTCGATATCGTTGTCGACGTTGGCCCATTCGTTTTGGAGTTCTGTTTTGCCTATCTTTTCAGCTTCCAACCTGGAAGCCATCCTCAAGGGCATCTGGGCCCGGTTTTCCTTTCTTTCAAGGGCCTGTTTTCCCAAAAGAACCTTGATTTCCTTGGGATCCGAGGGATAAGGATACTTTGTGTCTTCAGGTTTCAAGATCTTCTTTTCCGTGTCGCCTTTCCTCACCTTCTTACCTACTATCGTCAGAGCTCGTGCAAACATGGACGGCATTCTCGCCCACGGCTGGTCCTTGGCTTTAGGGATGTCTTCAACTTCAGCTTTATCAGCCTTTTCTTCAGCTTTCTCAACTTCGGTGACCTCCTCAGTGGCAGTCTCTTCCTTGTCCACCTTCACCTCACTAACCTCAAAGTTACACTCCAATTCTCCACCACCATCGCCAACTTCCAACCGTTCGGCTGCATTTCCAACCCTACCCACCGCAAGCTTCAATTTCCCCAGGTACTCCTTCAACGCTGCTCGAAGTTCCACTCCGATAGCCTCAGCTAGCTGTTCCAGAGACAGGGCGATTCGGGACCTGTTTTCCTTGATTTCCTCGCCCAACTCCAACGCCTGAGTACACTTGGGCCCGTACTTCACCGCCACATGTGCCCGCTGCTTCACCAATTTCTGGTCTTTCGCCACAAGCTCCTCTCTTTTCGCTTCCCTGGCTGCAACACCCTCCATGGCGTCACAAGGCCCGTCAAACTTCAAAACATCGCCGAGCTGGTCCACAAGACGAACGTAGTGGAAAATCATGTCTCTGTTTTCGTCCGAAAGGGATGCTCCCCACGCCTGAAGAGCCGCTTTCTGTTTGTCTAGAGCTCTGTGGAGCTTTCTGGACCGCTTGTTGGTTTTAGCCTGGAGTTTCGCCACGTCGGCGGCAGACACTTTGCGGCGCCACGGAAGCCGGAAGTGCCAGGTGGGCGCCGGCGCCAGGAAGTTTTCGTCCATGATTTTTGGGTTTTTGTTGGTTTTTGGAAAAAGTGGTGTAGTAGAAATGGCTGCAAAAAGCCGCACCCAGGAGGGGAGGATGGGGTGGGTGAAAAAGACGGAGAGGGAGAGGGTGTTCACTTCTTGTGATTGATTTTGTAATTTTCAAACGATAAAAGGATGGTTTCTTAATTTTCAAACGGTAAAGGAAGGCTTTTGCTAATGTGTTTGACAAGGTCGATCTATTTAGTTCTGCCTTCTCTTACAGGGCCACTATGGAATGGTGCTAGCAATTGAGAGACGATGGATCTACCGCTTCAGCGACTTTGCACAGCTTTCAAAAGTGATGGAACCTATGGTGGAAACCGTAGTGGAGACTATATTGTAAACTAGTGGAGACTATAGTGATTCAGGAGCAATTTGGGTGGAACGGACCACTATTGAACTACCCAAGGGGGGACCCTTGGAATTTGGTCAGCGTAGAAGACCACCAATGGACTCCATCTGAATCCCCATCTTCCTTTGAAGAGCTTTCAGTCATCTCAAAAACATTCTAACGAATTGACTTGCTGCTTGTTCCTCCAATCCTGCTTCACGAACTCTCCATTCTCCATGAACTGTCCAACAATGTTACGCCCATCCGTCAGACACTGTGAGTGTCTTGCAAACCCAGAACGACTCAATTCCAAGATACAAGTATCCAAGGCCTTCCTATCGAAATTCAAAGCGAATTTCCAGCATTGACTCCATCGCCAAACGACAACAGCTTTTTAGTGGATGAGGGACATCTTTACCAGTACGATGGATGCACATCATGCCATGAATCATTTTTGCCCTGTTTCTTCCCTTTGACTAATTCATACACCAAAGAACCCCAGCCTATACCTGAAACACTATACTGGTCAAGGTCCTCAATGAAGTCTCTGACTAAACGACTGATATACGGATGGTCCTCAGCTCTACACCCAAGGAATAAGTGAAACGAACTACTTCTGAAAGCCTTCAATTAAATCAAACACTACTCGGTCCTTCCTTCTTGGTCCCTTCTTTCTCGGTCTGCTTCTCGTCCAACTGCTTCTCGCCCTTGTCCTGGTAAGGTGGAAGGGAGGAGCTCGCAACCAAAGCTTCGTAGTCCCCATTATTATAACATCTTACATTGAGGCCGACGTGTTCTGTGGTGGCAAAGGATGTCTTGATTTCAAGTCGGACCTCAAGAAAGTTCTCTCTAGAGAACAGATTCGTCACAACAGTGGGATTCAATTCAGGACATACGCCATCGAGCAACTCCTTTGGAAAGTCGGCACGCCCGTTTTTTATATTGAGTGGCACGCCTTGAAATCTCCCGTACTTCTTGTCTACCACCGTCAAGGTATTCACCTTGTAAGAGTGGCTTTCACCTTCATTTCGCTGTGTTATTTCAACAAACGATATGTTGATCTTCTTGACATAAACCGATCTTTCCTTCTTATTCAGAGAAAGCCAGGATGTTGCGTTCCCTAACGACTCACCTACAAACAAAGTGGACCTCCATCCGAGTCGGAACCTGTCTCCATCGGGTCGATATTGTTCCAAATAATTCACCACGGCAGGACTAAAATAACACGATTTGTTGAGTTGCACTTCCATATCTTTGGAGCGGAAACAGAAACCGCTTTTGCAGTACACAATAGCGTCGGTGTAATCAACAGGCGGATCGACAGCATCGTCCTCGTCCTCTTCCACTATGAGACTGGAGGTGCCATCGGTTTGGATATCGTGACAAAATTGAGAAATGGTGATGATTCCAAAAATCACCCTGTCTCCTGGAATGGCACATATGTGGGAGTTGAGTGTGAGGTTTCCAATGGCTAGGGCTTTCTTTCGTACCCATTCGTCAATGTCCTGAGCTACCGTCTCCGTTTTTGGAAACCTCTGGATATAAGGATAGTCCCTTTTCTTAAAAAGACCATTTTCCACCGCATTCAGCTTTGCAGACTCCTTCGATACCGCTGCTACATTCAATGTGACATTGAAAGTGGAGGTGCATCTTTTCTCAAGACAAGTAAGCGTTACACTGAACCTGAGGGCATAAGTTCTGCTGCAATTTTTGGAGAAAAACGTCACACCCAAATTTGGAAGTGTGCAATTGAAGTGATTCACATGCAACTTGAAGTATCTATCGTCGTGATCTCCGTTCATGTCAAACTTCATGATTCTGGTCTCGAATTTTTTGTCCTGAAGAGTTACTTCTCGGACTTCCTCTTTGTATCCGTATCCTTCATCATGAGGAATGATGCATTCTATGGTCTCTATAGCAGTAATCTTGACACGAGAAACCATAACATCCAGCATACACCCACACCACGAGGGTTTCAACTGATGGAGTTCAATTTTAAAATAGTTTCCGAAACTCACTTCCGGCCACATCATGTTACACTTTCCATCGGAACCTAAAAGATAAAACATGGTAACTTTGAGTTTTCCTCGAATTGTCGAACCATTCTCATCTCGATCTATTGTATGAGTTCCCATCCAATCTGAATGGCTTCTGTGACATTGGAATGCTGCAGTGGTCTCAAAACCGGGAGTATAATGAAATAAGTCTTTTCCAACGCTGAAGCACCTATCTGAAAATGTTGATTGGAACCTTTCCTTTTGATCAACGAACCCCCCGCTCGTCAATGCCTCGAGGTGGCTTAATTTTAGCTGGTTCCGTTTCACAGTAGAAAAGATAATTCTGCCAGTACCGTCGTTTAAGTTGGGGCCTGATCCAAAAACCAGAATACCCTCCTTTTGTCTCACCTTTTCGATATCGGAGTCTTTCTGATTTGTCTTGATTTTGGTTACATTCTTGAGTTGAAGCCTGGTCACATTCCATGTGTGTGAGTCTTCGGTGAAGGAGCTCACATCATGAGAAACATAGTTTGATGGTTTCTGGTTGATTAGGTCGGATATTGTCTTTTCGACTTTTCTCTGATTCTCATCTTTTTCGATGAAGTGGAGGACTTTTGTCGGCATTTTAGATGGCAGTTTCTTGCGATGTCTGCTTTTTAAATACTTATTTGCCAGGTGGTGTTTTTTACGAAGGCTTGCATTTTATTGCTTCGGCGTCCTGACGAGGTCATACATGCCCTTCGGTGCACTATAATTTCCATTTCCACGCCTGATTCAAAATATGGGGTCCCGCCTTCAGAAAATACTATATTCACCTTGAAACGCCGATTCATTCAATTATGATCCTTGGTAGTTCCAGCGTTTCCCTGAACTGTGATCGGTATATGTGCTTTTGGTGGATCGAGGTGCTCCACCCTTTACAATTCTGATCTCCATTTTTTTGGGTAATCAAAAATCACTAACGAGGTTTCGGCGGCTCAAAACTGGCGCCCTGGAATGCTTTTTCCATCAAACACTCACTCCACAACAGTTCTCTTCTCATCCACCTCCACGTACGGTGGAAGCAGGGAGCTTTCTACCAAAGCTTCGTAGTCACCGGGAACAACCAATTCCTCAATTAGTTCCACGGATTCTGCAGAAGAAAAGAACGTTTTGACCTCAAGCCGGATACATATTATGGTGTGGCACAGGCTTTGGCTTGTCACAGAAGTAGGCTTGAAAGGAGGCAGAATGCCCGGAAAAACCTCTTTCGGGAACTTAGCACATCCGTTTGTTAAGTTGAGCGTAAAGTCTTCAAACGGCTCATACTTTAGCTGCGGTAGTTCAATGCTTCTCACATAGAGGGCTGTTCCTTCATCTGTTTTAGTGAAAAGCACAATCTTCAAATTCTTGACATAAACCCTTGATGCCCACAGTTCCAGGTGAAGCCAAATATCGAAGCGATCTTTTAGCGCTTCCCCTGAAAAGGAGACATTACAAACTTCTAGCCGGTAGGTAGAATTCCTGGAACTGTGAAGTGCCTTGGGAGGTCCTTCCAGGTTCAAAAACGGTGATCTTGTGATTTCCACATCCACATTTTTTGAACGGAAATGGAAACCTCCGTCACTGAAAACAATAGCGTCAGTGTAGTCAACATGATCTAAATCGTCAGGGTGCATGTCACAATTCGAAGAGATAAGCAGTCCCTGTTTTTCAGAAACCGGACCAAATCGAGAAACTGTCAACACTCCAAGAATGTAATTTTTGCCGGAGATGGCACAAATATGGGAAGATAGAGCTCGCCGACCTTCAATTGCCTTTTCCCTATCTGCCCATTTGCTGATCTCCTGGACTGTCACCTCACTATTCTGAAACCGCCTCATCAAAATTCGGTCTTTTTTTTTAACAAGACGGTTAACCGCCTGACCTTCCTTCTTGTACTCCTCCAATGGTACTACCACATCCATGGTAACGTCAAAGGTGGAGGTACACTTCTGCTCAAGACACATTAGCGTTATACTGAATCTGAGAGCATACCTTCTGCTGCAATTCCTGGAGAAGAACGTCACGCCTAGGTTGGGAAGTGTGCACGAATACAAAGAAGAATCCAATTCAAAGTGCCTGTCGTCTCCTCTCAAGTCCAGTTCATTGATCACAATGTTGACTCTTTCGTCTTTGAGAATGACTTCTCGCACTTCTTCCTGGTATCTGTACTCTTCATTGAAGGGAATTTTGCATGCCGTTGTCTCTATTGCAGTAACCTTCACTCGTGTAGCCATAACACTCAGCATACACCCACACCAGGAAGGTTTCAACTGTACAAGCCTCAAAGAGAAGTCATTTTTGACATTCAGCCTTGGGTATAGCAAGTTATATTTTTCAATCGTTCCAATATAACTGAATGGCACATATTTCACTTCAAGCTTCCCTCTGATGATGGAGTTGTCCTCTGTGTCAATTGTCCTCTCTTTCATGGATTGAGCATCGCTATGGTAATATTTAGTGAATGCCTTGCACTCAAAAGCAGGAGTATACTGGAAGATGGAGCCCCCGACTTCGAGACACCTTGCAGCATAAATCGACTTTCCCATTTCGACTCTCCCACAAAAGCTGTTTTTGATATGTGACTCAATATGGCTCAAGTCGAGCTGTTTTCTCTTGAAGACTGATACTACGACTCTGCAAGTGCCATCATGTAAATTGGGTCCTGAGCCGAAAACCAGAACTCCGTCCTTACGCCTTGCCCGTCTTATAAAAGAATCTTGCATTTCTTCACCTTTCATTTTGGTAGCACCATTAAGTTGAAGCGCCGTCACGTTCCATGTTTTGTTTCCACAGATTATCTTGCTTACCTCGTGTGAGACATAATGGGAAGGTTTCTTGGTGATGAGCCTAGATAAAGCTTCTTCGACAATAAGTTGGTTGTAATCGTCCTCGATAAAGTGGATGATCCTAGTCGACATGGCGTTTTGAAAAGCTATTTCTTACGTTAAACATATAATTTTGTAGGTGTTTTTTTATGTTAGATGATGCAGAAAGAGGTAGCTCGTCACACATGGGACGTAGCGTATTGCGTATGCTTGCTGAAACATCGTCGAATATAGACAAATGGTCGGCCAAACCGTGAAATATGAAGAGTGCCAGATCAATGGAGTTTTCAAAATTTTTTTGTTTTTCATTTAAGTTAGAAATAGCGGGTGGTATAATGTGTATTTGACGTTAAGGCTGTCTCAGTGAGACGAACTTCAGTGCCAGAGTCTAATTCCATACTTACATAGGCCATATCCAAATTCATGAAAATGACAATTTCTACTGATACTTCGGAAGACTTCACATTCTCTGGACATCCTCATCAGTATGTGTCCTCCCTCGAACCACTCCTTCCCATATCAGTAGCCCTCTACCTATGAAATCCACCTCCTCACTTTTCAGCACCTACCCATCAACACCTACCCATCAAAAACCGCCCATCAACACCTACCAACTACTCATCCACCATTCTCATTCTCATTCTATTGGCCGCGGGCCGTATATGTAGTGGGAGCACCCTCCCCAGCTTCTAGCCATCCATCCACTCAAACCTTCTTCTCGGGCACCTTCTTCGTGACGTCCTGCTCAAGCTCCAATCCAGCAACATGCGCCAATCTCCGTCTGGCCGAGTCCACGCCCAGCGAGAGCTTTTCCTGGCCCAGAACAGCAGACTTTCCAGCATCCTTGACCCAGTCCTCCGCAGCATTGTAAGCCAGCGCCTGGTGCTGTGCCACCTCAGGCAAGGTCCTCTGTTCGACTCTCCAGAGCAACCCAACCGTGTTGGTGAAGGTGTGAGGAAGGAAGTACTTGAAGGAGGCCAAGCCGAGTATCGTGGGTGCAAGGGCTCTGGCGACAATGCCTCTGTTTCTGGCGAAGATGTTGCCCGACAAGGCCGCCACGGCAATGTAGATCGAGTTGGGAAGGAGGTCCTCCTTCTTGTCGTGCAAGCTCGAGAAGGTGTCGGTGACCGATCTCTCCAGTTCAATGTACCTGGACTTGCTGTTATTGAGCCATGTTTCGAAACACGTGAAGGTGCCCACAACGGCCTCTCTGGCGCTCTTGATCACGCTTTGAACGCCTCCGGTCGTCCGCACGGTGACGCCTTCTATAATGTACTGCTGACCCAAGTTCTGAGACTCAGCAGGTGTGATGGTTCCAGGCACAGGGTACACGGACTGCTCGTCTTCGTAAAAAGATCTTTTTGTGTCGTTGAGGTATGCTGGTTTAGCGCTGTAGACCGCAGCAAGGCCCACAAGGGCACCAATGGCTCGGGACAGCATGGAGGTTGTAGTTGTAGTTGGTGTTAATTTTCTGCCGGATTCTCACTGGTCGGTAGGGTGGTGGATTTGGGGGTTTTGGGAAGGAGGGTTTGTGGAGAAAGTGAGGGGGGCCCTTGGGAGTTAGAGGGAGGTAGTTGGGGAATTTGGTGGAATTGACGGATTTTGGGGTTTTTGGTGGGAATTCGGTGGGTATGTTTGGAGAGGCTTGCTGCGAATCGGTTGTAGGTGAATGTGAGGTGGGTAAGTGGGAAGGCGAATACATGGGAGGAAGTTCTAGCTTTTATTAGGGGTTTATTAATTTGTGTTTTAGTGCTGAAATTCCTTTTTTTAATGTTCCTTTCAATGATGAGTTATGGTGAAGGTAGGTTGCGAGATCGATCCATGGGTAGGGTTCACGAATTGAGATATACCTTCTTTAATAACCTTCATTCTTCTATTATGATTATTAGCTTTATCAAGTTCTGTAGCGAAACAAATCAACTTTAATTGGCGAAATGTTCTGAGCCAGACTGACAGGTGGATGGGTCGGTCAATAATGGCTGCGAAAGAGCGGTAGACTGTGCTGTATTTGAACTCCACAAGGAATTGTGAAGTGTAAGTAGCTGATATTTGAGATTATTGCGGAGCAACAGATCTTTAAAAGCGCCTCTGAAGTGTTCTTCTCGTTAGGAAGCTGTCAAGTGCTGTTGAGCTTTGAGCATGCTTGGAGCTAGTCATCTGTCTATGTATGGTCTTGAACCCTACTAACGTTTACGAGCCATTCCTCATTTTTTTCTGTCTCTTGTCTGTTCCTTGCCTCGAAAATCCAGCAAAATCTCCATATTGACTTTTTATAGTGTCCTTCAGCTCTAATCACTATATACTACCGCTACCTTCACGGTACATCCATACTCACACACACTGGCTGCGAAATTCACCAAAACCACAAAACCACCAGAACACCCAAAAATCCAAACAAACACAAAATCCCACCATCACTACCGCCAACACCCCCTTCCAACCTCCAAAAACCCCCCTCCCCTCCACTTTCAAAGTGACAAACTCCTCTCCTCTGATAGGCCTTCGAACTCCAGTCACATGACCAGCATCACGAGCGCCATCTCCATCACCTACAACTCCATCTCCATCAACGCCACCATAAACCACCCAAAATGCTATTACGTCGATCGGCTACGGCCCTAAGGCGGCCCTGTCTTCTCCGCTTCAAGCACACAGGAATGCTGGCCTTCCACGACGACAACTACAACCTTCTGGCCATCTCATCGCAAGAAGACCTGATCCTACCTTTCAACCAGAAACGCCACAGCGAGCTGTTTGGGCAAGTGGTGCGTTCGGAGCCACGGAAGGAGGAGGGCGAAATCGAAGATATCCATACTGGCTACGTCAGACACCTCCACGACCCTCAGACCTCAGACTACAGAAACCCGGATGGAAGCTACATCAGAGGTAACAACGCAGAAGAGGCCAGACTAGATCCGCTTACCTTACAGGGAAAGAGCGACCACTCGGTGGTGAAGCTCCCCTCGGAGATCGCCAAGACAATCAACAACAACATCTTGAGTTTGAGGGTGCCCTCATTGATCAGAGAAAGAGCAGCAGAGATATACCAAGCATTGGAGAAGGAGCAGATCCAGCGTGCACCTGTTTCAGGGCTCGACAGTGACGCTTACATTGCAGCGTTGTTTCTTCAGGACTATGCCAACGTCAGGAAAGTCCTTGTGGAGCTTCAAAAAAGGGTCGACACCTTCAACCCAGATTCTGTCTTGGACATCGGCTACGGGCCTGCCACTGGCATGGTGGCCTTGAATGAGCTTATGGGCCAGGACTTCAAGCCTTCTGTGAAGGATGCTTACATCGTTGGGCGCCGTAATTCTGAAATGAAGCGAAGAGCCAAGATCATTCTTTCTCGTCAGCCTTGCGAGGTAGAGGCTCAGGCTGCGGTTTCTGGAAAAAAGGCCAAGGATTACGTGGGCGCCGTGGATACCCGTAAAATCGATGTGAAAACGAACATTCGTGACTCGCTTTCTTCGGAGAGCAAGTACGACTTGATTATTGTGAACCAGACGCTTCTCACTCGTGAGCACAGCTTTCCAAGAGACGTTGATGTGAACCTCGAGATGGTGTTGGCTTTGCTCAATCCAGGTGGACATCTCGTGCTTGTGGAAAGAGGCAACCCGCTTGGATTCGAGATTATCGCCAGAGCCAGGCAAGTCATGCTTCGTCCTGAAAACTACACTGAGGAAAAGGGCAAGATCCCCAGACCCTACATCCGTGGGTCCAAGCCGAAACCACAGAAACTCAGAGCTGAGGATCAGCTCATCACCGAGGAACACATCAAAATGGAAGAGGAGCTTCTCCGGAAGATCCAGGCCGAGGAGAAGGGTGTCGAGGATGAGGATCTCGAAGAGCACTTGAACAGCAAGTACGGCGAGCTCAGCGAAGATGATCTCAAGTTCGAGGACGAAGGAGAAGTGGAGGTTTTGGATCCTCTGGAGTCACATAAACCCAGCTACGACGGTGTTGACTACCACTTGAGCATCGTGGCTCCATGCCCCCACCATGGAAAGTGTCCTCTTCAATTGGGCGACCCGTACTTGTACAAGGTCCGCAACCACAAGCACCGTTTCTCCTTCTGTTCGTTCAACAACGTGGTGGAAAGACCAAAGTTCACCATGGAGCTCAAGAAGGGTAAGAAGTTGGCGTCGCTGTGGGACAAATCGAAATTGCTGAAAACGGAGCGCAAGGCCATGGAAGGAAGCGGCAGACCGGGCGGAAACAATACCGAGCTGGCTGACTACTCCTACCTTATCATGCAGCGTTCTCCCAATGACGAGGCCTCCATCAAGAAAATCGAATCGGACAGAGAACATTCTTCCAGTGTGGAAGAAGGTCCAGCCACATGGCCCCGTTTGATCAGTTTCCCCAGCAAAATCAAGAAAAACGTCAAGCTCGACGTCTGTGCCGCCTCAGGCAATATCGAGACCTGGCAGGTTCCCAAAAGCTCAGGCAAGCAGACCTACCACGATGCTCGTAAAGCCCGCCAGGGCGACTTGTGGCCGTTGGGCAAGAAGACTGTAAGTGTGAAATCGAGATTTTCAGAAGAGGGCATGGCCAGATTGAAGTCGATGGCCAAGCTGCAGCGGAACATTGTTCTTAAGGAGAAGAGAAAGAAGGAGTGGAAGAAGATGACAGTCAAGGACCCGGCGCTTCTTGAGGACGACAGTGAGATGGACCCAGCGACACTCAACAACATCTATGCTGCCAAGTTCACCTCGACCAAGAAGTACCGTCAGCAAACCAGGCGTCATGACTTCGACAAATAGCATATTACTTGTAAATAGACCAAGGGAGGGAATGGGTAAACTAATCTACAGTAGATGAAACTATAGTAGATTCAACTATAGTAGATTCAACTATATACTGCTTCCTAAAGTATATAATGAACTACAGGGCAGAGATCCCGAAATGTAGGAAAACCAATAATCGTTCCATTCTTCCTCTTCTATCAAACCGCACTTCAGAACTAGCTGAAGTCGGCGTTTGTACCATCACAGGCCTAAAGCTTCCATCTACAAATGAATTCCTGAATCGTATATGAAGTGAACTATACAACGCCTTACCGCCCGGCAGGCTCCCTCTATTGTACAATGCTA